CCTCAGGGACCCAATCAGGAGCCTCAGGAACCCAATGGGGAGCCTCAGGGTCCCAATCAGGAGCCTCAGGGACCCAGTCAGGAGCCTCAGGGTCCCAATCAGGAGCCTCAGGGTCCCAATCAGGAGCCTCAGGGACCCAGTCAGGAGCCTCAGGGTCCCAATCAGGAACCTCAGGGACCCAGTCAGGAGCCTCAGGGTCCCAATCAGGAGCCTCGGGAACCCAGTCAGGAGCCTCAGGGACCCAATCAGGAGCCTCAGGGACCCAGTCAGGAGCCTCAGGGACCCAGTCAGGAGCCTCAGGGTCCCAATCAGGAGCCTCAGGGACCCAGTCAGGAGCCTCAGGGTCCCAATCAGGAGCCTCAGGGTCCCAATCAGGAGCCTCAGGGACCCAGTCAGGAGCCTCAGGGACCCAGTCAGGAGCCTCAGGGTCCCAATCAGGAGCCTCAGGGACCCAGTCAGGAGCCTCAGGGTCCCAATCAGGAGCCTCAGGGTCCCAATCAGGAGCCTCAGGGACCCAGTCAGGAGCCTCAGGGTCCCAATCAGGAGCCTCAGGGTCCCAATCAGGAGCCTCAGGGTCCCAATCAGGAGCCTCAGGGACCCAGTCAGGAGCCTCAGGGACCCAGTCAGGAGCCTCAGGGTCCCAATCAGGAGCCTCAGGGACCCAGTCAGGAGCCTCAGGGTCCCAATCAGGAGCCTCAGGGTCCCAATCAGGAGCCTCAGGGACCCAGTCAGGAGCCTCAGGAACCCAGTCAGGAGCCTCAGGAACCCAGTCAGGAGCCTCAGGGTCCCAGTCAGGAGCCTCAGGGACCCAATGAGGAGCCTCAGGGACCCAGTCAGGAGCCTCAGGAACCCAGTCAGGAGCCTCAGGAACCCAGTCAGGAGCCTCAGGGTCCCAATCAGGAGCCTCAGGGTCCCAATCAGGAGCCTCAGGGACCCAATCAGGAGCCTCAGGAACCCAATCAGGAGCCTCAGGGTCCCAATCAGGAGCCTCAGGGTCCCAATGAGGAGCCTCAGGGTCCCAATGAGGAGCCTCAGGGTCCCAATGAGGAGCCTCAGGGTCCCAATCAGGAGCCTCAGGGTCCCAATCAGGAGCCTCAGGGACCCAGTCAGGAGCCTCAGGGACCCAATGAGGAGCCTCAGGGTCCCAATGAGGAGCCTCAGGGACCCAGTCAGGAGCCTCAGGGACCCAGTCAGGAGCCTCAGGAACCCAGTCAGGAGCCTCAGGGTCCCAATCAGGAGCCTCAGGGTCCCAATCAGGAGCCTCAGGGACCCAGTCAGGAGCCTCAGGGTCCCAATGAGGAGCCTCAGGAACCCAATCAGGAGCCTCAGGGACCCAGTCAGGAGCCTCAGGGACCCAGTCAGGAGCCTCAGGGTCCCAATGAGGAGCCTCAGGGTCCCAATGAGGAGCCTCAGGGTCCCAATCAGGAGCCTCAGGGACCCAGTCAGGAGCCTCAGGGACCCAGTCAGGAGCCTCAGGGTCCCAATGAGGAGCCTCAGGGTCCCAATGAGGAGCCTCAGGGACCCAATCAGGAGCCTCAGGGTCCCAGTCAGGAGCCTCAGGGACCCAATGAGGAGCCTCAGGAACCCAATCAGGAGCCTCAGGAACCCAGTCAGGAGCCTCAGGGTCCCAATGAGGAGCCTCAGGGTCCCAATGAGGAGCCTCAGGGTCCCAATGAGGAGCCTCAGGGTCCCAATGAGGAGCCTCAGGGTCCCAATCAGGAGCCTCAGGGACCCAGTCAGGAGCCTCAGGGACCCAATGAGGAGCCTCAGGGTCCCAATGAGGAGCCTCAGGGACCCAATCAGGAGCCTCAGGGTCCCAATGAGGAGCCTCAGGGTCCCAATCAGGAGCCTCAGGAACCCAGTCAGGAGCCTCAGGAACCCAATCAGGAGCCTCAGGGTCTCAATGAGGAGCCTCAGGGTCCCAATGAGGAGCCTCAGGGTCCCAATGAGGAGCCTCAGGGTCCCAATCAGGAGCCTCAGGGTCCCAATCAGGAGCCTCAGGGACCCAGTCAGGAGCCTCAGGAACCCAGTCATAATAATAATTGAACTTCAATTATCCTACAATGTACCTCTGCATTTAACCCATCCTCTTGTTAAGCAGTGGGCTGCCATTGTCCGGCGCCCAGGGAGCTGTGTGGGATTAAGGGTCTTGCCCAGGGACCCAGAGTGGTAGGCTGTAGGAGTGGGTTTTGAACTGACAGCTTCAGGATTCCAAGCTCTATTCCCTAACTACTAGGCCACCACTCCCCTATTATAAACATCGTTATCATTGTAATAATTTATAAACGTCGTTATCGTTTTAGTAACTCATTCTAAACATCGTTATTGCTGTAATAACTCATAATAAACGTTGTTATCGTTTTAGTAACTCATTCTAAACGTCATCATTTTAGTAACTCATTCTAAACGTCATTATCGTTTTAGTAACTCACTCTATACGTCGTTATCGTTTTAGTAACTCATTCTAAACGTCGTCATCATTGTAATAACTCATAATAAACGTCGTTATTGTTTTAGTAAGTCATTCTAAAGTCTTTATCATTTAAGTAACTCCTTCTAAACGTCGTCATCATTTAAGTAACTCCTTCTAAACGTCGTCATCATTTAAGTAACTCCTTCTAAACGTCGTCATCATTTTAGTAACTCCTTCTAAACGTCGTCATCATTTAAGTAACTCCTTCTAAACGTCGTCATCATTTAAGTAACTCCTTCTAAACGTCGTCATCATTTAAGTAACTCCTTCTAAACGTCGTCATCATTTAAGTAACTCCTTCTAAACGTCGTCATCATTTAAGTAACTCCTAAACGTCGTCTCATTTAAGTAACTCCTTCTAAACGTCGTCATCATTTAAGTAACTCCTAAACGTCGTCATCATTTTAGTAACTCCTTCTAAACGTCGTCATCGTTTTTGTAACTCATTCTAAACTTTATCGTTGTAATAACTCCTTCTAAACGTCGTTATCGTTTTATTAACTCATTCTTAACGTGGTTATCGTAATAACTCATAATAAATGTCGTCATCACTTTAGTAACTCCTTCTAAACGTCGTCATCATTTAAGTAACTCCTTCTAAACGTCGTCATCATTTAAGTAACTCCTAAACGTCGTCATCATTTAAGTAACTCCTTCTAAACGTCGTCATCATTTAAGTAACTCCTAAACGTCGTCATCATTTAAGTAACTCCTTCTAAACGTCGTCATCATTTTAGTAACTCCTTCTAAACGTCGTCATCATTTAAGTAACTCCTTCTAAACGTCGTCATCATTTAAGTAACTCCTAAACGTCGTCATCATTTAAGTAACTCCTTCTAAACGTCGTCATCATTTTAGTAACTCCTTCTAAACGTCGTCATCATTTAAGTAACTCCTTCTAAACGTCGTCATCATTTAAGTAACTCCTAAACGTCGTCATCATTTAAGTAACTCCTAAACGTCGTCATCATTTAAGTAACTCCTTCTAAACGTCGTCATCATTTAAGTAACTCCTAAACGTCGTCATCATTTAAGTAACTCCTTCTAAACGTCGTCATCATTTAAGTAACTCCTAAACGTCGTCATCATTTTAGTAACTCCTTCTAAACGTCGTCATCGTTTTTGTAACTCATTCTAAACTTTATCGTTGTAATAACTCCTTCTAAACGTCGTTATCGTTTTATTAACTCATTCTTAACGTGGTTATCGTAATAACTCATAATAAATGTCGTCATCACTTTAGTAACTCCTTCTTGACGTCGTTATGTTGTAATAACTCATAATAAATGTCATCGTTTTAGTAACACCTTAACGTCGTTATCGTTGTAATAACTCATAATAAATGTCGTCATCGTTTTAGTAACTCATTCTTAACGTCGTTATCGTAATATCTGCATATGCAGTTATACTTCAGGTGCTTCCCACATAGTTCTAGTTTTTCTGTGGATTCCATATTATCCTATTTTGAGATCTTCTGAAAGCTCTTCATTAATCATGTATTCTGTAAGAGCGTGGTGCTAATCCTGCGATGTCCTTTCTTTGACTGCAGTAGTCAGCAGGTTTACTGATCACTATGGCCGCAATGACAAAACTCACCACTGATCTTCTTAAGTTTTAGATATCAGAAAGAAATCTATTCTTGAGTCGGTTTTAATGCAATGGGAATAAAATGTTTGATGTTTTGTTGAAGGTTCTTCATATATGCAGGTGTGTTGCCTGTCTGGACATAGAGGATGCCAACCTCTTGAATAATTATTGCATCCATCACCTGACTGAAATCACCGTCCTTCTTTATTCCCTGTTACACCTTTGAGCACATGAAGAAATTCACCATATGGAGTGCGTAAATATTCCACAGACACGTGTTAATGGTTTCCAGTGTCCTCTTCTGCGCCGTGGTGCTGGGGAAGCAGCACCTCCATGAAGGACGCCTCCAGACTGGACCAACTGGGAAGGCCAGCCGGCTCTGTGATTGGCTGGAAGCTGGACCCTCTGGGGACGGTGGCAGAGACACTGCTGGACATTATGGACAATGCCAGACCGTCTTCACCCCTCAGAGGAGCCTGATCAGAGGGAGATTGCTGCTCCCCAAATCCAGGAGCAACAGACTGCTGGACTCCTTTGGTCCTCAGGCCATCAAGCTGTACAACTCCTCACTGGGGGGAAGGAGGAGGTGATAGGAAGAGGGACAAGGGTCAGCCCCCCCCCCAAAGATTGACTTTAAGTTTAAAGTGTGTTTCAGGAGCCAGGCTAGTCTGCAGCCGTCACTCTCACAGGTCCCACTTTACTAACATCCTGGCAACATGTTTCTATTGTTTTTATGGAAGATGGAAAGAATAAAATGCTCAAATAAAATTTTTATTTATTAGTTGAATCAGAACGTCAGTCATCAATGCTTTTAGCTAAGGGGGGGCTGATGGTAAGACTCAATGACCAAAGAGGAAGTCAGGTCAAAGAAGGTTGGGAAACCTTTAACTATTGATTGTTTCTCATCGTCTTTAACCTTCTGACCTTTTTCTCCTATCAGGATTGGAACAGAACCTGGAATACCTCTAATCCAGACGTCACTCCGTGTTTCCAAAACACCGTCCTGGTGTGCGTGCCATGCCTCTACCTGTGGATATGTGCCCCCATCTATGTGGTCTACCTGCGCAGCCGCAACCGAGGCTACATCTGCATGAATCACCTGAACAAAGCGAAGACTGTAAGTGATCCGGCCTGACCTACAGGACGCCTTTTAGATTTGGTGCTAATCTGGCTCTTCTCCAGACCGGGATTAAATCTGAGAACATTCTTTCTTTATCTTCTATTAGAAAAGGGAAGCTCTGAGGTTTTTTAGCAATACTTCTCACTTTGTGGATATCATTGTAAAATGATACCAGTGGAGTTTAACTGTACTTCTAGAGGAAGCTGAGGTCCTTCAGATGATGCAGATCTTCTATCAGTCTGCTGTGGAGAGTCTGATCTCTGCCTCCATCATCATCATCATCATCATCGTCGTCATCAGAGCTAATGACTGAAAGAAGCTCTTGCAGCTGATAAAGTCAGAGGCTTCTCCAGATCATCTGTAGCACAGACCTCTACAGGTCTATCTTCCTGCATCAGCTAAATGTTGCTCTCAGACCAAACGTGTTGTGGGCTTCAGAGCATCTGATTTACATGGGAAGCTGATGGTGGAGGACATCTAGCAGTGTAGGAAAGGTCCTGCAGAGCAGCCAGGCGGTGGTAGACGCTCATTGGAGCGTTCAACGCTGGAGCTTTTGCAGCTTAAAGGGAAAGGTTAAAAACAAAGCGCCGCGTGTATGACATCATCCGTACGCGGGCTACCGTTCATCCATCCTGTCCTCTGAACTGCTGCTAGTTTTCCTCACATGCCTGGAAGACGTCTAGTGCTGCTACCACAGATGATCTCGCTCTCCAAATGAACGATTTAGATTAGCTAGAATGAATAGAAGGGGTATAGCGTAGCCGCCTGTGGCCCGGGCTGCCTGTCACTACTACAGTCCACCGTGGCGGATGATGTCATACACGCCCCGCTTTGTTTTAAAAAAATATAAAAATCTAACTATGGATGTCTGGGGGACAGTGATTGGCCTCCATGTTCTGAATGCTGGCGTACCATAAAGAATAAATGATGAACAGTTTAGTTTGTGCCTTCAAGTCGTTGCCCATAGGAAGACGTTACTGGATATAACCTAACGGAATATCTTCAAACGGCTCCAAATGACACTAAACTCAGATGGGAGAGTAGAACATGATGGAATAACGGAAAATCAAGGACCAATGGAAAAAAACGGCGTTCCGCTTTAAGGCGGAGAAAAGCTTTTCCAGGAGTTTTTTCTGGGAGACAGACGCTACATGCAGGCTGGGATCTCTGCTGCAGAGCCGTCAGCTTATGGAAACTGGAGAAATGTTTTAAAATGCCAGGAGGACGGAGTTTAATGTCCAGAGAGACGAGAAGCGGCTCCGATTATTATTATTATTATAATTATTATTATTATTATTTATTATTATTATTATTGCTGCGTCACTGAAACATTTTCCTGCTTAACTGTGGAGAAACGGTTTATAAACCGGAACTAAAAAGGTTAAACCTGCTGATGAAAAATATTAGATTTTATATTATTTTTATTACTATTATGGGCGTTATTCTCTTTTTTCCAACTCATCAAAGCAAATCAATCCCAGTCTCTCTGTGGAACAAAGATGGTGGTCGTCTGGACGCCCAGAAGGTTTAATCTGAGCGCAGCTTTAGAGCTCAGATGCTTCCTGACAGTCCAAATATGGTCGCAGCCTGATGCGTGAATTATTCATCATCTGTTGATCATTGCAGCCTGATCTGCATAGAAACCAGCTGGAGGCATCAGCCTGCTGGGATTGGTCTCATTACTGGGACCAGTGGTCTGTTGGGTTGGACCAGTGTTCCTGTGAGGCCTGTGAAAACAAGTCAGTCCTCTTATTTTGAAAAGTTCTGGATGCCTTCCTGTGTGGGGCTCCTGCGGCTCATCAGGGGCCTCTTTCAAAGAACTGCTACGCTTGTGTTTTCTTTCACCGTTGTGTTAAAATGCAGCAGAAACAAATGCTTTCAACCCACAATAAGCTAAAAAAAACCCTTTGTGAGTTTAAAATGGTCGCTGCCGCCAGCTGTTGGTGTCAAAGCAAAGCTGCTGGCTCCTTAGGGGAGGACAGGGTCTTCTGAGGGGACAGAGTCCCTGTCCTGACGGGATGTTTGATGCATAGATGGATTCTACCACCTGCAGTGAGCAGAGGGTGTGGTTGTTGTTCTGCAGGTTCTGGGCTTCTTGCTGTGGATGATCTGCTGGTCAGATGTCTTCTACTCTTTCTGGGAAAGGAGCAACAGCAGCAGCACCACAGCGCCGGTCCACCTCGTCAGTCCCACCTTACTGGGACTCACAATGGTAAGAGAAGCTGTGTGGTTGGAAGGCTGTGTTTGCTGAGCTGACGTCTGCCTGTCCCTGTGTCTCCAGCTGCTGGCCACCTTCATCATCCAGTACGATCGGATCAAAGGCGTTCAGTCCTCTGGACTTCTGCTCATCTTCTGGCTGCTGGCGCTGCTGTGCGCCTCCGTCTCCTTCAGGTCCAAGATCCTGCAGGCGCTGGAGGAGGTCAGTCTGCTCCATCAGGTGGAGGCGCTCTGATGTCAGAGCAGCGGGGGGAGGGGCTGATGTTGGAATTCATCATCCCAGATCTATAGCTTCTAGATACACAGGTTCAGAAGACAGAAACATCAGAACAGAGAAAATGAGCCAATAAATATGGCTGAAAGTCCCCAAGGTCTGTTTTCAGAGGTCACCATGGCAACAGGGTTCTCTGGGGGAACAGCAGGATGACGGAGGGATAGACACCCTGAAAGCTGGGGGCTGGAAACGACCTATGAGCAGGACAATACCTTAGTCTGATAGATTTCAATTCCAGATCAATCAGATCACCCAGATCCAGATCAATCAGATCACCCAGATCCAGATCAATCAGATCACCCAGATCCAGATCAATCAGATCACCCAATCCTCGACTTTACATGATGAGCGGCTTAATGCACGGGGGAGGAGAAACTCCCAGAACCAGGCTCAGTGTGAGCGGCCATCTGCTGAGGCCCAGTGGGGTTCAAGCAGACAGAAGCAGACATAGAAAAAGAAGCATAGAAGCTCTGATCTATAAACACTTTCTATGTTAGAAAAGCTAACAGTAAACCAGCTCCACAGCTGGCTGTCTGGGAAAGAAGCGGTTAATCAGACGTCCCAGTAGAAGCTGAGCCCAGAGCTACGGGAGAGAAACAGGAATAAATACTGGAAAACAGGCCAAGCTCCAACATCTAGAAACAAAGGTGTTGATGGCAGCAGCACAGCTGATATTTCTCTCCAGGATGGAGTCACAGCCAGACTGCTGTTCTTCTCCCAGCCTGATCACTGCTGCTAGCACCATTGGAGCGACGGCGCCAAGATGGCCGCAGCTTCGTGCAGAAATGAAAAAAATCCTCATGTTCTACTTTAGCTTTTTTACTTCCATACCGTTATAATAAGATTTCAATCTTTAAGTTTCTGTTGGTTCATAATTAACTGGTCCTGGTCCTGGTTCTGATCCTGAACCCTGGTCCTGAACTTGGTCCTGGTCCTGGTCCTGAACTTGGTCCTGGTCCTGGTTCCGGTCCTGAGGTCTCTGACTGCTACCAGCTGCTGATGTGTCTGTCTGATCTAGTTCTATAGAACTGTAGGTCCTGGGTCCACTGAGGTCCGATTTGTCAGGGGTGGGTCTATGTCTCTGTAACCTCCAGCTGTCCTTTTTGTCCCTCAGCCTGAAACGGTGTCCGTCTGGAGGTCCACCACCTTCTACCTGTCCTACGTCCTGGTTCTGCTGTCCCTGGTTCTGTCCTGCTTCACCGACCAGCCGCCGCTCTTCAGTCAGGCGGTCAAAGACACGGTGAGACTGAGCTAGCTAACCGCTACATTCAGACACTAGAACCACTGACGGAGCGTCCTCCAGTTTGGGTTCCGGTCCAGTCTGAGTGGGCTGTCCTGGTTCCAGTTTTTCTCTTTCTGTGTTGAACTGTAACTCAGCTTTTAAATAGTCCTGTTTGCTCCAGATGTTGGTTACCTTGGCGACCTGCTGGAGACCCAAGTCCAGGTCAGAATCAAAACCACAGGTCTTAGACCTTGATCCACCTGCTTCTTCAGAACCAAGTGCAGCGTGACATTGGGGTAAGGTGGAAGGATTGTCCTGGAACTTGTTCTGATCCTGGTCCCCTTAAACACTTCCTGGAACGTCCACAGAACATCCGCAAACCTCCTGGGTTTTAGAAGAGGTGCTGATGCCCTTTGTTCTAGAGGGAACGTCTCCATGGAGACGGTGGACCTCACCACGTTGGTTCCCCTCCTGGTCCTAGAGGGAACAGAAGAATATTCTGAGTGTCTAAGGCTACGTTCACACTGCAGGCCTTAATGCTCAATTCCGATTTTTTTGTGAAATCGGATTTTTTTGCGTGTCCGTTGACACTTCCAAGTATATGCGACTTGTATGTGATCTACTGTGTGAACTGAAAGCGTTCAACCGAAGTGTCCCGCATGCGCACTCGAGGACGCGATGACGTCACATGTAGCAAGCGTCCTCAGTGTTTGCGGAAGTAGACATGACTCATAATATCGCAGCGTATATTGCGTTCTTTAAGTTCTTCTCCAACAGGAGCAGGCATATCCTCCGGTTCCGGTAAGACCCTTCGAGTTTGGTCTGAATCGAGCTATCTTTCCAAATATGAATTAAGTCAGCAACCTCACTTTCTCTCCATTGACTGCTCTCTGTGTTATCTTCCGCCATGGTTGTTAGTTTTTCCCGCCTCCGCTTAGTAGGACGCAGATTAGTAACGTTTAGTAACATTTGTCAAGTATCAATGACGTGTAGGTCGGATGAATGCGACCTGGCCGTACAGACACAGGTCGCATTTGAAAAAATCCGATCTGTGTCGTTCAGACTGTCATAAAAAGATCAGATGCAGGTCACATATGGGCAAAAAAATCGGAATTGGGTCACTTCAGGCTACAGTGTGAACGTAGCCTGAATCTCTTGCGGTCGTCCAGGATTCATGGAACTTTAGTCACGTTTCGTTAGAAAATCACTAAAAGCACCGAACTCAGCTTTCAGCACCATCATCCCACAGCATCTGATGGGCAAACTGGAACAGCTGGGCTTCAATACATCCCTCTGCTATTGGCTGCTAGACTTCCTCACCAACAGACCTCAGTCAGAACACCTCTGATGTCATCGGTCTAAGCCCCTCCCCTCAGGGCTGCGTCCTGAACCCCCTGCTGTTCACCCTGATGACACACGACTGTGTAGGTTCACCACCGATCACATGGTGCAGTTTGCAGACGACACCACGGCGGTGGGCCTCATCAGAGACGACAACGACCTGGACTACAGAGAGGAGGTGGAGCAGCTGGTGGAGCAGAGATAACAGCCTGATCCTGAAGGTGGAGAAGACCAAGGAGATCATGGTGGACTTCAGGAAGAAGCGGCCTGACCACGCTCCACTGCTCATCAACAGCTCAGCTGTAGAGGTGGTCATTCATCACAGACACCCTCACCTGGACTGGAAACACCACCTCACTGGTCCAAAGGGCCCAGAAGCGCTTGGACTTCCTGCCCCCCCCCATCCTCCCCACCTTCTCCAGAAGCACCATAGAGAGCGTTCTGAGCAGCTGTCTCACTGTGTGGTGTGGAGGCTGCAGCGCCTCAGCCTACTAACCTTGGACATCCCGTATGAAGATCAACCAGCTGCAGCCCAAGGAAGGGGAAATCATTGCCGCTCCAGCCAGTAGGCAACAGGGCCTCCTGCAATGGGAACCGAGCAACGAATGATCCAAAGGGCTGAAAAGCTTAAGCCACACGAGACCAACCACACGCGTGACGCAGTAAGGAACAGAGTCCTAGACGGCGCCAACATATACAGCTGCTGATTGGTCACCCAGGGTGTCACTGGTGTAACTAGTTAATTACTCCAACTGCACAGGGGCCAAGGGGAACATCCAGTAGGGATACAGTAGAACCGTTAACAGCGTCTGGTTTCCCCCACAGAACCCGTGTCCTGAACCCGGAGCCTCCTTCCTCTCCAGGATCACCTTCTGGTGGATCACAGGGTGAGTAGAGCTGCTGTGAGGTCAGAGAGGAGAACCCCAGCAGGAAGACGGTGGTCCTGCAGAACAAGGAAGCTTTCCTGGATGGAAGCGGTTCTACCAACCTGTTGGACCTGTATCCACAGTGCAGGTCCAACAGGAGGACCAGAACCAGTTCTTCTAAGAGCGTCTGATCCAGAGGTGGGGCGTTAAAGCTGCTGTTCTGCAGGACGGTGACCCTCAGAGGGAGCATGGAGGACGTCTGAAGGTGGAGTTGGTCCTCTAACCCTGCAGCAGAACAATGGCTTCAGGTACCAGCCCGGTACCAGCAGGATGTTCTGCTGGTACCGGGCTGGACGGGTTCACAGCAAAGACATAACATCTGGTGGTTAATGGAACAACCTTCAGATGTGTCACTGAGGAGTGGAACGGATCCATCGGGTCTGTTCTCCTGAAGGTCTCATTAGAACTCCTTCTGTTCTGAAGGTGTTTGGTTCTCCCAGATGAGACGTCTGAGGAAGGACAGTGTACCCGAATGAGACGTTTAGGGGTTCCACCTCCACCACGATGCGTTCACTGCCTGTCTGAACATTTTTCCTCCTGTTGTTATCAGAGGGTCTCTGGGATCAGGCAGAGAGGGTCTCTGGGACCAGGCAGAGAGGGTCTCTGGGACCAGGCAGAGAGGGTCTCTGGGACCAGGCAGAGAGGGTCTCTGGGATCAGGCAGAGAGGGTCTCTAGGATCAGGCAGAGAGGGTCTCGATTCTGCTGCAGGTTCTCCTCCACCTTGTGGCACCAGAGAAGCTCAGTGAAGCAGGACGAGGGGTGAAGGTTCTTTTTGATGATGCTGGCGTTCTGTTTTTCCCCCCAGGTTGATGATGGTTGGGTACAGACGCCCCCTGGAGGAGAAGGATCTTTGGTCTCTGAATCTAGAGGACCGCTCTCACAGCGTGGTGCCACATCTGGTGCGTCGCTGGAACTCAGAGCGTTACAAGGCCAAGAGGTGAGCAGCGGCATGAGGTCATGTTTGATCATGTACCGGCCTGACTGACTCAGCAGGATGATGATGATGATGATGATGAGGGCCAGACCGGATGAAGGGTCTGTCCTGACTCAGAGGATTAGAAATGCTTCTCCATGCAGCTTCTCCTCGGAACCGGCCTGTTTCCTGAAAAAGTTTTAGCACAGTGAATACTTTATAAGATGAAGTAACTGCAGGACTAAAGCTCCATCTAAATGTCTTCAGCAGGACAGAGCAGCAGATGGTGTTCTCCCCTAAGAGGCCCCCCCATGGGGAGGGCCAGCCTGTGGAAGAGTCTGAGATCCTGCTCACCAAGTCTCCCAGAAAGAGCAAGGAATCCTCCCTGCTCTGGGCCCTGTGCCTGACCTTCGGACCTCACTTCCTGGTCTCCTGCCTCTATAAAATCATCCAGGACATCCTGATGTTCGTGGGACCAGAGATCCTGAGGTGAGGAATAGGGTAGGGAATTGAAAAGATTTTCACGATTCCGATTCCCTTTTCGATTCTATGAAACGATTCGATTCTTAATCGATTCTTTTTTCGATTCCAATTTGGGGGAAAAAGGAGAACAAACAGTTTGATTATCAGAATCAACTTTGTTTACTTAACTATTGCACAATCTTACAAACTCAAAAAGATCAAGATGTCCACAGGAAATGTGAAACTGGAGTAACATCTGTGTTTAAATGAAAAATGAATACAAGAACAAACTTAATAACCAACAATGTCTAATAACAAATGATGGGATAATAACCTATTTTAAATAACAAAAAATACTAATTATAAAACAGTAGTAGGGAAAATTAACAGTTATTTTGCAGAAAGATTAGCATATCTGCTTTTTCTGGAAGGATACGGGATCTTTCAGGGCTTATGGTGTCTCCAGCCGTGGAGAACACCCTCTCAGATGGGGTGGATGAAGCCTGCACACAGAGGTAGTTTTCAGCCAGTCAGATAGCAAGGGCAGCGTATCTTGCTTGTTCCACCACCACAGTGTGGCGCTATCCCTGCAGGGGATGGAAGGCAAGCTTTTATAGAGCTGGATTTCCTGATCTACCCTCTGGGCTAAGGAAAGACGGGGCTTTGATTCACAAAGTGACCGCAGCACGTTGTCTTCCTCCTCGAATAGTTCTTCCAACTTGCGTAACTTGCGTAACTTGCGTAACTTGCGTAAGTTGCGTAACTTACGTAAAAAACGTGACGTAAGTCGTGCTCCCCAGAGCCGGCGCTCTCGGCTCTGGTGCTGCGGGAATCGAAAAAAGAATCATTCAGCGAGCTGCCAAACGATGCCATGGAATCGGAAAATACGGAACCGGTTCTTAACAGGAACCGGTTTTCGATTCCCATCCCTAGTGAGGAAGCTGTGGAGACCCTCTGCTACTTCAGGGTCTCTATAGTTATTCAGGGTTTTCATCTGATCCAAGATGTTGATGTTTGGTTGGATTAAAGGAATAGTACACCCAAAACATGATTAGCCTTCATTTTCTACTCACCCCCATGCTGAACAACACTCTGGAGTACTTTTTTGATATCTCAAATGCATCTGGAGATCTGGGAGGCTTCTTGCTGTCTGCTGACATTCACATAATGGAGGTCTATGGCGCCCGAGACAGAAAGGTCCATAAAAGTCCATAAAAACGTGTCAATATTCCTCCATACTGCTCGTCCAATGTATTCCAAGTGTCCTGAGTGGGTAGCGTCCAGAATTTACTCGAAACGAAGTCATTTAGAATGTTTTTAGAGCATAAACAGTAGTGTATAGGATTTCCTAATAGCGCCCCCCATGCGCGCTCACGACGCTACGGAAGCCGGCAGACCAAACCAGCGCATTCAGCTCGGCAAAGAACTCATGCTCTTCCTCAACACTGAAGTCCTCAGACATTTTTCTTTCGTTGTTTCTTTCTTTGCACAGGTAAACAGCACATTTCTTCTTCTACGCTTGCATTATCGGCAGAGCAGACGCTGAATGCGCACTTCCTTCCGGTTTGGTCTGCCGGCTTCCGTAGAATCGTGAGCGCGCATGGGGGCGCTATTAGGAAATCCTATACACTACTGTTTAGGCTCTAAAACGTTCTAAATGACTTCGTTTCGAGTAAATTCTGGATGCTACCCACTCAGGACACTTGGATTACATTGGACGAGCAGTATGGAGGAATATTGACACGTTTTTGTGGACTTTTATGGACCTTTCTGCCTCGGGCGCCATAGACCTCCATTATTTGAATGTCAGCAGACAGCAAGAAGCCTCCCAGATCTCCAGATGCATTTGAGATATCAAAAAAGTACTCCAGAGTTTTGTTCAGCATGGGGGTGAGTAGAAAATGAAGGCTAATCATGTTTTGGGTGTACTATTCCTTTAAGAGGAGCCGCTGCTGCATCCATGGCCATTGCCATGGAAACCGTTTAGGTCTATTGCTGATGTGAGGAATCTTTGGTTTCATGATGTTGTCTCTGATTCCTGCAGACTGCTAATACGCTTCGTCAACGACTCCAGCGCCCCCTCCTGGCAGGGATTCTTTTACACCGCCCTGCTCTTTATTTGCACCTGTGTGCAGTCGCTGATTCTTCAGAGGTACTTCCATGTCTGCTTTGTCTCAGGCATGCGTCTGCGAACAGCCATCATCGGCGCCGTCTACAGGAAGGTAACAGTAACTGCAGCACTGCCTTGAGACAGTTCCAGCAGGGCTCTCCAACCCTGGTCCTCCAGATCTGTGCTGCAGGTTTTAGATGCATCCCTCTTCCAGAGTTAGAGCTTCAGCATCCCGTCACGTTTGGTAAAGACCTGCTAACTAGCCATTCATTTGATTTAACTGCTGCAGCTGAGATGCATCTAAGACCTGCAGGAATGTAGAGGGCCGGGTGGGAGATCCCTGATCTAGAGTCGTCTCTGCATCAGATGAGGTTTTAAAAATCCAGGAGTTGATGTTATGTGTGGATTTCTAGAGTAGAAGCATCAAACCAGCCACAGGCTTTGATCAGACAATATCATTTAAATAAGGGTAAAGTTAAAGGAGAGCGTTGCTGTGAAAGTCGTCCATCTCCTCAAAGTTTTGGTGACTGGAAGAAAGAAGCAATATTAGTTTACAGATATAGGGTTAGACTGATTTACTAGTAGAAGAGTTAGCCCATACTGGGGCTGCAGTGTTTGATATAAATGGTTAATCCAAATTATTTTATTTCTTTAGCGCCAATTCACCACACCTGTCATCTCAAGGCACTTTCCAGTTCACCAGATCATCCAGTAAGAAGTTTTCTATCTAAGGAAAACCAGCTGATTGCATCGACTCATTGACTCTTCAGCAATCCCTCACACTAAGCATGCTTGTAGCGACAGTGGAGAGGAAAAACTCCCTTTGAACAGGAAGAAACCTCCAGCAGAACCAGGCTCAGTGTGAGCGGCCATCTGCTGAGGCCCACTGGGGTTCAAGGAGACAGAAGCAGACATAGAAAAAGAGAAACAGGACTACACTGGAAAACAGGCCAAGCTCCAACATCTAGAAACAAAGGTGTTGATGGCAGCAGCACAGCTGATATTTCTCTCCAGGATGGAGTCACAGCCAAACAGGAACAGACCAGATGAAGCTACTATGAGAAAAAGCAGAGAGAGCAGAACGTTAGAGATTGAACTAACAGATTCTGCAGTGGGAGAATAGAGATAGAATGAAGCAGAATGATGAAAAAGGAGTCCCTATGTCCTCCAGCAGTCTAAGCCTATAGCAGCAGAACTATAGAGATAGATCAGGATAACCTGAGCCACTCTAACTAGAAGCTTTATCAAAAAGGAAAGTTTTAAGCTTAGCCTTAAAAGTAGACAGGGTGTCTGCCTCACGGACTAAAACTGGTAGTTGGTTCCACAGGAGAGGAGCCTGTTTGAATAATGATTTGATTTTCTATTTTTTTTAACAGAGACGACTTTCCTTGTCCAATAGTCTCTTTCCTAGATAATATTGCCCATACTGAGGCTGTAGCGTATGTAGAACCAATATTTACTTGGGAAAAAAATTAAGCTAGTCCTGAATTGAATGACTAAATATTTAGTAGTATTAGGTCTCTAATGATCTTTCCCTTCTGTATTAAACTCTAGGTGTAACTTGTCTATATCATGGTCACTTCTAATAATTGTTCCCATTTAGCAGCTAATTTCTGATTCCACTGACTGATCAGATGCTTAGAAAAGTCAGTTCTGGAAAATATCTTCTAACTTTGTGAATGAAAGCTCTCTGCTGCGGGTCGTTCCGTCTTCATCTATCAACTCCATTCCAGTCTTGTCCTAGCATCTGGATTGCAGCCCGGACTTTTGGTGATGGTTTACACCGTAGCGTTCTTTTCTATTAAAGCTGTCATCACTCCCAGAATAATAGGACCTGTTGTATTACACAACATAGTTCTGGTTTCATGGAGAAAGTTGGGTTCTATTTCAGTTCGAGAAAGCTTTTTACCATTATTCTGCTTAAGTATGGTTAAACTTACATTCTAATTAACCAGGATCATTACACCACTTTGTTTGCTAGAATAGGAGCTGTGCTTCACACCGCCCACCCAATCTTCTTCATCCCACCAATCATCTTTTGATTGGAATCCCATTCATTATGTTCGGCTATCCTTTAGCCATTTTTTACTAATTGATATTATGTCATTTAATTTGCCACCTTCAACATAACAGAGCTACTAACAACATCTGTTAACCGACATTGTGCAAAGGACATCAATAAACCAAGCAGAGGGAACAAAGCTGAGCAGCAATAGACTGTTAAAGCTTGGTCTGTAAGACATGCATAGAGTTCTCCTCCTTTCCAAACCCAACGGCAGTTTATCGGATGTTGATCAGTAAATTCCTCATGGAGCAACGTTTGTCGGCTGCTTGGCTGGTTGGGAAAACCTTTCAGCCTCCGCTCTGTCTCTGAAAGTCCTCCTCTCTCCCTTCCAAAGGAAGATGAGCGTCAACAGGAACAGCTGGTGTTTCACCTCCATCTTCTGTAAACGCTTCTCTGTAGCACTGAAAGCTCCCCGCTTCTCCACAAGGTCTTTATACGGGTCCTCAGAAGGTCATCTCCAGCCGATGAGGCGATGAGCGTAAAACCCTTATCAGAATGGTTTGGGGAGGGTAGTTTGTACCTAGTCAGGGTGCTAGTGCCGCTCCACTTTGAACCCGCTACTGGTGAATCCCTAAGCAATGATCTGTTCCATATATGGACTCATCTTTCTCATTTCTCCTTGTCTTCTTTCAGCCCAACCCTTCACACACAGCGTCGCTAATATCATCTAATTTTTTTCTACATTTGAGGATCTATCCGACGCTCGCTGTTAAGTTTCCTTTAATCTCACTTGAAGAGTCTTTAAGCTCTCTGTCAGCCTCTGCTGCTACCTATTGCAATGCGGCGCTCATTGTTGGGATGTCTTCCATGGCGTTGCCATCAGCGTGTTCCTCCTCAGTACAGCTGGAGATCTTCATGGTGTTAGCAGAAGTGCTCTCAGGGGTTGAGCTGCTTCATCTTGCTAGCTTATTGTTGCCAGACCCTTGAAAAAGTTGCCTTTGTTATTCAGCATTTCTTTGAGAAATGAATATCTGGCCCCTTATGATGATTTTAGAGTTTGATGCATCACAGATATTCAGCCCTCGACAAATTAAGAGCTATATATTCCACATATAAGTGGAAAACGGGTTGTCTGCTCCTGGAGCTCTGCTAGTGTCCACCATTTTCCTCGGCGGGACTCCCCTTGATGGCTTTTTAATTAGTGAGGTAGAACTGGACTCCGAGCCTCAGACGAAGGATGGTTTAGGGTTCACTTCCTGGGTTTGTCCTTTCAGGCCTTGGTGATTAGTAACGCGGCACGGCGCACATCGACGGTGGGAGAAATTGTCAACCTGATGTCTGTGGATGCTCAGCGCTTCATGGACCTGGTCACCTACATCAACATGGTGTGGTCTGCACCGCTGCAGGTGGTCCTGGCCCTCTACTTTCTCTGGCAGGTAAAGCGACCCAGAGACTCGGAAGCCTTTCTAGAAGACCTGAAAGTACCAGATAAGAACCAGTCACTCCTCTCCTTGTTTCCTCCTCTTCTTTACAGAATTTGGGTCCATCTGTGCTGGCAGGAGTTGCAGTGATGGTTCTGATGGTTCCGATTAATGCCGTTATTGCCATGAAAACTAAAACCTACCAGGTAGGCCTTCCTCCAGCCATGATGGACTGAGGACGAGGCGGCGCCACAGCTGAGTGCTCTACTTGTGTTGAACAGGTAGCCCAGATGAAGAGCAAAGACAGCCGCATCAAGCTGATGAACGAGATGCTGAACGGCATCAAGGTGCTGAAGCTCTACGCCTGGGAACTAGCCTTCAAGGACAAGGTGTCTGAGATCCGGGAGAGCGAGCTGCGCGTGCTGAAGAAGGCTGCTTACCTGGGCGCCATATCTACCTTCACCTGGGTGTGCGCTCCCTTCTTGGTGAGTCTCTGAAAGAGGCACCGCTGCATCGTCCCTCTTCTTCTTCTCTGAGTGCTTCCTCTGCCCTTCTCTCCAGGTCGCCCTGTCCACCTTCGCCGTTTATGTGCTAATCGATGAACGGAACGTGCTGGATGCTCAGAAGGCCTTCGTGTCACTGGCGCTGTTCAACATCCTGCGTTTTCCTCTCAACATGCTGCCTTTTGTCATCAGCAGCATTGTTCAGGTGGGTTTGCTAACCCTAACTATAGAGATAGCTCAGGATAACCTGAGCCACTCTAACTAGAAGCTTTATCAAAAAGGAAAGTTTTGAGCCTATCCTTAAAAGTAGACAGGGTGTCTGCCTCACGGACTAAAACTGGTAGTTGGTTCCACAGGAGAGGAGCCTGAGAACTAAAAGATCTGCCTCCCATTCTACTTTTAGAAATTCTAGGAACCACTAGTAAACCTGCAGATTGAGAGCGAAGTGCTCTGTTAGGAACATAAGGAACAATCAGATCTCTGATATCAGATGGAGCTTGGCCATTTAAGGCTTTATATGTGAGAAGGAGGATTTTAAATTCTATTCTGGATTTAACAGGAAGCCAATGAAGAGAAGCCAGGATAGGAGAGATATGATCTCTCTTTTTCATTTTCATCAGAACTCTGGCTGCAGCATTTTGGATCAGCTGAAGGCTTTTAACTACAGTTTGTGGACTTCCTGATAGTAAAGAATTACAATAGTCCAGCCTTGAAGTAACAAATGCATGGACTAATTTCTCAGCATCACCCCTGGACAGGAGATTGCTCATTTTTGCAATATTCCTCAGATGAAAGAAGGAAATTCTAGAAACCTCTTTGATCTGGGATTTAAATGACAGGTCCTGATAAAAAACAACAAGATTTTTTACTTTATTATCTGAAATCAGTTTAATCCCATCAAAATGAAGTGACTGACTAATCAGCTTCTTTTTCAGAGACTCTGGTCCAAAGACTATAACTTCTGTTTTGTCTGCATTCAGAAGCAGAAAGTTAAGAGTCATCCAGGTTTTTATGTCTTCAGACATGCCTGTAATCTATGTAATGGGTTAGCTTCATCTGGATTTATAGACAGATATAG